CAAGTAGCGCCAAACAGCACGTGCAAAACAATCAAAATCAAGTACGCTATTTTAATGTCGCAGACAAGTTAAGTTTTACATTTATTTCACTTTTAATAAATTTGTATTTCGCTTGGAAAATTATAGAATGAAATAAAATAAACAAACAAAGTTTTATCAACGTTTTCAAAATTCGTTATTCTCAAAATGTTTCTACACACGGTAGATTTTTAACGACAGTTTTTTTTCAACCCACTAGAACGGCCTTTAAGGAACGTTTCTATTGGAAACTCTAAGGCGAAAACAAATTTAACCGCCAAACATAAAGTCCAACTTTATAATAATAATTATATTTTTTCTTGACGTGTTAGAATGGAAATAGATATTAATTCTTCGTGCATTATTGTATAATAATGCACGTTTTTCGTTCAAATGCTTTGTAATTAATCACTCAGGCCTATCGGCCTTCGTGATTATATTACTACGCATTTGAACTCAAACCGTGCATTATTCTACAACAATGCACTCAGAATTGATATCTATTTCCTAAATAAAATCATGCTTATTAAATTGGTAACACATTTTTGAACAGATCTTTAGATCTGGCAGGATACCTGTAATAGTATCACACTTTGAAAATCACTTTGTGTTTATTAACTTACGTAAATATTGTCATTCCATATAATCAGTATAATCGAGGGGTCAGAGTTTCTCTAGATTTTTATTCATTAGTGGGTGGAGTACGATTTGAACAATAATTCATTAAATAACCAGAAGCAAATTATCATATTCCTGGTTTATTATGTTAGTCAGTTACATGGTCTGCACTAAAGAAGCTATAATTTGACAGAAAACACAAAATTTAGGGAAATAATTGATAGAACAAATAAGTACCAGTTTCAACCTTACATTGAAAAAACTATTTTAATGTACCGCCTCTCATTTTATATGTCTTACTGCATAATTACAAAGAAAGATTTCTTAAGATATGATATGAATGCATTTAAGTATTTACTCTCATGAATACATTACAATAGTGGAATAACAAAATAAGTAATAGATATTTCTCTGTTTAAGCTAAGACAAGAGTATCATAGCAAAAACCCATATGTTTAGCATTATTTTGCATATTTACGTATAGAAAAGCAAAAAGCAATCTGTTTTCTCCAATAAAATTAAATCTCTTCGTATAAAACGCTTTAAATGATATCTTCCGTGCAAAAATTTCACTTGAAATACAAAAGCGGAAACAAATATGAGCAAATATTAATATTCTAGAATATTTAGGGATTTGGCGGCCATCTTTGACGCCATCTTGGATTTTTAAGCTACGCATCGGACTTGAACCAAATGAATATTCATTCCGGAAACTAGAGACCCAGACGAACAATTTGGTATATAAAACTTGCTGTTGGCTGAGATAGACTACTTCGGTGTCATTTTACCCTATGAATTTGCAGCACTAAAATGACTGTGTTATAGAATATATTTAGAAACTCAATTATAGATTATAGGACTCTGTTATGGAATATAGAAACTCAATTATAGGTTATAGGACTCTGTCATGGAATATAGAAACTCAATTATAGATTATAGCACACTGCTATGGAATATAGAAACTCAATTATAGATTAAAGAACTCTGTTATGGAGTATAGAAACTCAATTATAGATTATAGGACTCTGCTATGGAAAATAGAAACTCAATTATAGATTATAGGACTCTGTTATGGAATATAGAAACTCAATTATAGATTATAGGACTCTGTCCTGGAATATAGAAACTCAATTATAGATTGTAGGACTCTGTCCTGGAATATAGAAACTCAATTATAGATTATAGGACTCTGTCATGGAATATAGAAACTCAATTATAGATTATAGAACTCTGTTATGGAATATAGAAACTCAATTGTAGATTATAGAACTCTGTTATGGAATATAGAAACTCAATCATAGATTAAAGAACTCTGTTATGGAATATAGAAACTCAATTATAGATTATAGGACTCTGTTATTGAAAATAGAAACTCAATTATAGATTATAGAACTCTGCTATGGAAAATAGAAACTCAATTATAGATTATAGGACTCTGTCATGGAATATAGAAACTCAATTATAGATAATAGGACGCTGTCATGGAATATAGAAACTCAATTATAAATTATAGGATTCTGTTATGGAATATAGAAACTCAATCATAGATTATAGGACTCTGTTATGGAATATAGAAATTCCATTATAGATTATAGGTCTCTGTTATAGAATATAGAAACTCAATTATAGATTATAGGACTTTGTTATGGAATATAAAAACTCTATTCAAGATAATAGGACTCTGTCATACAATATCGAAACTCTATTTTAGGTTATAGGACTCTGTTATGGAATAAAGAAACTCTATTATAGGTTATAGGACTCTGTTATGGAATATAGAAACTCTATTATAGGTTATAGGACTCTGTTATGGAATATAGAAACTCTATTATAGATCATTATAGACCTCTGTTATAAAATAAATGATATTCGGGTATATTATTCAGCTGGAATGAAAGATTTGATTTTTTTTACCAAGGTTATGTAGTACATTCTGCAACTTCATTTAAGACTGAACGTGGTGTGTACAGATTTACCATAGAACTGCTCATTGTTGCTGATTATAGTGAATTCAACAAGTAAGTGTCGTCTGCAATTGCCACTTGGTTAAAATTTTAAACTGTTGATATTTCTAGATTCATTTTGCATACAATACTTGTTTGTTGTTTTTCTTTTTTTTCGTCTAAATAAAAAATAACGTGCATTGTATTTTATAAGTTAACAGATAATATAATACCAGATTACTTTTCACGAATTTGGAATACTTCACTGTTGATTCCATTATAATAAATAATAAATTTGCTGTAGCCTTGTATATGAAAGATATAAACATCACGATTTTCCAATGAAAATCGATGTATTACAAGAACCATGATCTATTACTCACCAATCTTTGAGTCACACTTTTTTTTCTATATTGTTGTTATATAAATATAACTAAGATCTATGCTTGCTTAATGAATGTATATATATATTTAATAATATATTTTATAATTTTGAATTACGTCATAAAGGTGGTACCAACTGACGTCAGCCTCGCTGTCACATTCTCAACGTGTAAACGAGGCTACCGAGAAAGTGAAACAGTATGCTGCGGCGCTCATACATTCAGTTAGTATTTCTCGTTCCCTTTTATAACTTTAAAGGGACTCAACTGAATTTTTTTTGTTATGACGGGACTGGAAATAATTACTCGTTTTGTGAAAAATGACCCAAACTAGAAAAACGTTGCAAACGTTTTTCACTTAAATTGGGGGGAGGGGGGTGGCGCGCAAAAAAAAAAACAACAAAAGATACGATTTTCAGTTTATTTCTGAATTTATTTCTAAACAAAGATATTTATGAATATATTTCTTTTTTAATGCCCTAAGAAATTCAAATTTCTTGCATTTAAGACATAATTTTAAAATACCTCGGTGATAATAAATATTGTCACTACATATTTTAAAACTGAGCTAATTTGTCGCCCGTATGGACATAAAAGTGGTTGATTAGAAATAAGTTATATTGTGCATTCTAACACTTTCGGAATTTTTCTATAATAATAAACAAAGAAGGCCCGAAGCGTGCATTATTCTAGCGGCAATCAATGCACTCGCCGTTTTCTCATTAACCTCCCTGTTGTATTTTCACATTACGGGCGGCCATTTTGTTTGAAAAATCTGATATATAAAAAACAATTTTTTTGTCGAATTTCGTTGTGAAAACATCAGAATGAAAGAAAATGGTCTAATAAGAAAATGAATCCGAACACCAATAATCTTTTATTCAAGTCGTTAACGCTATACAGACGTTTAAAAGCTAATTGTGTTACGTGACGTCACAATGTAGCGCCAAACAGCACGTGCAAAAAACAATCAAATCAAGTAGCGTTATTTGAAAGTTCGCAAACGAGTTAAGTTTTACATTTATTCAGCTTTACTAATTTTTATTTCGCTTGAAAAATTACTAGAGTGAAATAAAATAAACAAACAAAGTTTTATCAACGTTTTCAAAATGCGTTATTCTCAAAATGTTTCTTCACACGGAAGATTTAACGACAGTTTTTTCATACCACTTTAACAGCCTTAAAGAACGTTTCTATTGGCAACTCTGAGGCGAAAACAAATTTAATCACCAAACATAAAGTCCGACTTTATAGTAATAATTATATTTTTTCTTGACGTGTTAGAATGGAAATAGATATTAATTCTTTGTGCATTATTGTATAATAATGCACGTTTTTCGTTCAAATGCTTTGTAATTAATCACTCAGGCCTATCGGCCTTCGTGATTATATTACTACGCATTTGAACTCAAACCGTGCATTATTCTACAACAATGCACTCAGAATTGATATCTATTTCCTAAATATAATAGAAAAATAAAATCGTTTCGAAATTTTTTTTTTTTTTTTTTTTTTGTGTAGGATTTACAAAATCTTATTCACGATAGAAAGTTATAATAAATGAGTTTCCTTTTCTTTTCTTCTAGAGTAATAATGTGTACAGAAGTCTCGAGTTGCACAGTATATACATAGACATCAAGCTTGTTGACGTCCTCGTCATGACCGTAAGTTCTTTAAGTTCATTTCTTTGATGTTTACGTAATTATTTTTGTTTTGTAATCTTTTCCAACAATTGTTTTCAGTTTCAAGTAGCATTTACATGAAACTACAGAGAATAGTACTAAGTACTTTAAACCTACCTTTCAAAAAAAAGAAAGAAAAAACATATAAAAAGTTAACGTTACAATGGCTATGCTACGACGTCACATTCCACGTCAAATGATGTGCTATGACGTCAAAAAAGTGCAAAAGTGACTTTTGCTGTTCCTCGACCTAAAGAAAAAAATAATGTCATGTTTAGTCTTCTTTCAAGAATTAAAAATGCAGAGTAAATATAAACGGATGTGCAATAAATTGTGTAGAATATTGATATTCACAAATAAAGTTATTTTGCCATGGTATTAAATTTTGTCGAATATAATGGATATTTTTACAAGAAAGTTAATTTTCCATTGCAATAATTGTGTTGAATAATATGGATATTCATAAGCAATGTTATTTTATCATGGCGATAGAGCTATGCCAAGTGATACATTATAAATATGTGTCTTGATTTGCAAGTAAACCTGTTTAAAAG